TAGTTATTAGTTTTAAGCAGGTTTATAAATATTTCTTTTGGGGAAAGTGGTAAACACTAAACGACATTCACCAAAAGTTCGCCACTGTTGGAGATGGCCTTAAAAATCCTTGAAATCTGATTTTAGTGTTTTGTTCTTTTTAGTTTTCTGTTTTTAATCAAATTTACCTACTCAAATCACAAATCTTGCTATTGATATTCTTCGTTTTTAATTACTGGTTTATGACTAGAAGCAATCCATTAGGAGAGCTAAGTTTTGATCCAGAAATTGAAATCACGGCAAGGAGATCCAAAGCCTTGTAAAACAGAGAAGCTGTTGCTCGTGTTCTTAAAGACCATAAGCAGATGGCAGAAGTGGCAGCAGCTGATCAACCTCAAGAAAGAGAGCTACAACAAGCTCCACCCATACTGCTTCGAGATTATTTTGTACCCCAAGAGGAGGAATTTCAAACTCCACTAATATACAATGATGTCGCAGTAGAGAATTTTGAGCTCAAAACTCAAATGATTCAATGGGTGCAAGCTGTTTGTCCTTTCTATGGACTGCCTAGTGAAGATCCCAATGAGCACATCAGGAAATTCCTGAGATTGTGCAGCACCTTCAAGATTCAAGGTTTGTCCAAAGACAAGGTTTACTTGAGACTGTTTCCATTCACATTGCAGGATTCAGCAGCAAAATGGTTGGACACTCTGCCCAACAATTCAATCAACTCCTGGAATGGACTCAGACAGGCATTCCTTACAAAATTCTTCCCACTATCAAAGCTGCTGCTTTAAAAATAGCCATCATGGCTTTTTAGCAGCATGGGACAAAGACTCTTTATGAGGCATGGGAAAAATTTAAGGATCTAATGAGGAAGTGCCCTCAACATTGTGTAGAAAAGCCAATGCAACTGTGCATTTTCTACAATGGATTGCAGCAAGCCTCCAGAGAATCACTTGATTCATCATCTGGAAGAGCATTCATGATGAAACTTGTGGAGGAAGCAACCCAGCTACTGGAGAACATGTGTACTAACCATTTTAGATGGCAGACGGAGCCTAGAGCTACAGCTAAGAAGGCAGGAGTGTTGGAGCTAGATGCTACAACTCATTTACAAGCACAGATGGCAGCCATCTCTAGTGAAATCTCAAAGCTAAGAGTTGACATCAACAAACCAAAGGTATCAATGTGAAATTTGCACAGGATCTCACCCCAGCTCTACCTGTTAGGCCACTATGAAAAAAGTTCAGTTCGTGAGACTAGGAAATGACAGAGGAGGCTTCAACAATAATAGCAATTGGAGGCCACAACTGAACAAGAACTGGACTAATCAACAGTCAAGCTACCAGAAATCAGTGCAACCATCTAGATTTTAGAATCAACCATTCAGAGTCAAGGAGGAAGACTGGATCAAGGTTGGTAATGTCCTTACTAGTCTTGATGCAACTGTGAAAGATATGCAAAATCAGGTTGCACAAAAGGCAAGAAGGATACCAGACAGACTTGCCAGCACTCTTCCAAGTGATACACTAGAAAATACCAAGAGAAGGGAAGCACACAGCACAGATCAGAAGGCTGAAATGCAGCACAAAGAGGTGTTGCAATCAAAGGAACCTAAGTGAGCAGCACCAATTAGTCTGGCATGAGACGTTAAACCAATGCGCTGCTTGGGAGGCAACCCAAGGTAAGTTATTTTTTTCTTCTTAATTTTCTTTCAATTATATTTTGGCTAATTAATCAGTCTATTTAGTGGCAATCAGAAAGAGTGGTGGCACTCTTATCAAAAATTTTCAGGTGAAACAATGTGGATGATTAACCTGAAATGCCTTGCTGACTATGATATAATCAGAACAGCAACATTTCAGTTTGACTATCAAACACCAGCAATGAACATTGATTTGTCGTTTCAATTGGGTGAGTGATAGACTCACTTTTGCGACTGAAATGATTAATCAAAGAGAACTTGCAACCCTACACCTTGCACTTTAGGGAGACAACCAGAGAAGTTCACTCTGTATAGTGTCACAAACCACTCTCGCAAGTGAAACAAATTGACTCTGGGGACAGGGAAGTCAACATCCGGTCAAAAAGACTACAATGGGAGAAAAAGAGGGAAAAATCAATTTTAAAGACTCCTCGATGTGATTGGTGGTCATAAGAGGTCAGGAATAAAAACACTTCTCAATAAAATTTGACCGCCCACGACCCCTACTGTCATAAAAGCCATCAGCACATCCATCATCCTTCTCCTCCATCTTCCAAAATCATAAACTTACCCATAGAGATCTAATCAAAGCCATAACCTAAATATGGTGAGAGAAAGACAAAGGGTAAGAAGAGGTGTTGTGATAGCACAAGGGGCGGTTATGACACCACCAAATCTACAGGAACAACCGTCCAGAGAAGAGCAAGATGCCCACAGATACATCATCCAGAACATAGCCACATCTGGGTTGCTGGTGAACCAAGCAGCGCCAGATTTCTTTCGGTAAAACTGGGAAAAGTAGGCAATTGTGGAGCGAGGTATGGTGGTTCAGCCAAATCCGAATTCCTACATAGCACTCCATCACTAGGAAGGATTATGCATAGTCACTACTCGGCCCAACCTCAGTGCAGTAAGAGAATTGTACAGCAATCTCAGAGGAGACCCAAGGGATGAAATCACTGTAAGAGGACAAGTAGTCAACATAAGCATAGAAGCGATCAGAGAGGTGCTCCATCTACTAGAAGTAGATTTCAACTATGAGGATGGAGTTTATCAAGCAATGGACGACCCTCCAGAAGATGAATTGTCATATGTACTATGCTCAAGATCTGCAGAGGCAAAGTTGTCAAAACGCAATGGCCTACTTAAGCACTTTCCGGTTTCAGATCTAAAATCGGAATATAGGAAGTGGTACAACATGATATGCACCAACATAATGCCAATGAGGCATCACAAAAAGGTGCCCTTTCAGATGGCTCTTATGCTCTATGCTCTGGTCCTTAACATCCCAGTTGATGTGGCCGCAATTATCAGGTTACAGATGCATATCAGTATCCACAATCCAAGGAAGAAAGACTGGTTCTTTCTAGTATTGGCCACAAGACTGATGCAAAGAGCCAATGTGCAGTCCCTACACACCGATGTTAGGAGAGATATACCACCCCCATGGCAGTTGGAAGGACCTCCGCACCCATTCCCGAACCTATGATCACCCAGGGGAGTATTCTATTTTTTTTTCTTTTCTTTCCTTTTATTTTCTGTTTCTTTTAATTAGGATTGGTTTTGTATTTTTCTTTTTTAAGTCTATGCATCTACAATCCTTAGGATAGATTGAGTCCACTTTGTATGATGATTTTTCTGATTACAATTAAAATTGCATGCTAAGTATTTGTGTTGGTTCTTCCCCTGTTCTCCGTGTTTAAAAGCATTGAGGACAATGCTTATTTTAAGTTTAGGGGAGAGATTTGTATGAGTTGCATATTTTAAATTTTGACAGGATCAAATTTCGAAAAATCTAAAATAAATTTTTTTTTTATGTGCAACTGTGAACAAGTTTGTGTATATACAATATCAAAAGTCTATGATGATTCAAAAATATGTGGCAAATATTGAATTTTTAACACTTGTTGATTCACTTGAAGTCAGCCCCATAGTTCTTCACTTTCTCGAGCACAATATGTCACTTGCCATAGTGAGAGTCTGAACTTAATGTTAAAATCTAAATGCCTTAATTACATTATTGTGATCTTATATTGGAATCCGCTTGTCTGAAACTTGGGGGGACTGTAAACCTGAGTGAAGACTAAGGCAGCTCTTCGCATCATGGCAGACTCTGTAAGAGCCCATGGTGGTCTGTAAAAGCCTAAAAACTTTGGAAAAGGGGAATGGTAGTCTGTTGAACTGAGCTGAAAAAAAAATTCATAAATGAGAGAAGTTAGGAAGACTGTCCAATGAGGCAGTAATACCCCTAAGTGTTTAGGTTTGGCAAATAAATAGAGAGAGTCCTCAGGCCTAGTGAGGAAATATGAGAAAAATGAACAAACTACCCTAAGTTGCTGAGCCACTGTGAGAAATCACTATAGAGAGTTAGTGGAAATATGGTCTGGGTGAAATGCCCTAAGTTGCTGAGCCACTGTAAAATAAGTGGAAATATGCGCTGGGTGAAACGCCCTAAGTTGTTAAGCCACTATGAATTAATATTAGGTAGAAATATGCTCTGGGTAGGGGACTGAGTGGGAAAGATCCAGAAAAAAAAGCCATATGGACAAGGAGAAAAAGGGTTGAGAGAGAAATAAGATGTAGCCAATGTTGCTGCAAAATCTTTGAGAAAGTCCTTAGAATCTAAAAACCTCAGTTAGAATACTTTAGTTGATGGCATGCAGGAAATAGGTACTGATCACAATAATGTCGATTTGTTCTTAAACTGGTTAAATCTTAGAATAGATGATAGGTAAAACTTGAACTCTGGCTGTGACATATGCACACACACACTGAAGAACTGTGATGCTGCCTTTCTGTGATAAACAATGGTGTATAATCTGTCTAGTTAGGGACTTGAATCAAAGACTAACATTGATACAATGTTGCATTTACTTCTGTTCATTTAGCCACATTCTTTTTCGATCACTGTCATTACTCTTATCCATGAAAATTAAAAAAAAGCACTTCTTCATTCTGAGTCAGTCTTTCTATGTCTATATTAATCAACAAAAGTTTTGGCCTATGAAGCATTCTACTGACTCAAGGTATCACACTAAGAAATTTTTGGAGAATTTGGTTTGTTTTTGGGATGCATATTTGAAAAAAAAAAAAAGAAAAGAAAGAAAAACCATTCTTTTTCCATAGTTTCTAGTTAACCCCCTCAAATTTATTTTTTTTCCCTGGCTATTAATTAAATACTGTGGAGTGCAAATACCAAAGATTCCCAAGTAATTGAAACACTTCATCTTTGCATTTATCTTGTCGCCACTTCATACAGTCCAGAAGGGTTCCAATCGGATCGAGAAAAACTCTTGAGTTAGCCAAGAGCCTAATGGCTTCAGAAATTGTGGAGTCAGCAAATCTAGGAATAGAATCGATATGCCCAAGGGATGAAGTATGTGAAAATTCATCGGCGTTGGTGGGTTATGTGTTTATGAAATCGCAAGATTTCTTAAAGAAGTTTGGATTTCTGCTATTTAAAATACTCAAGATGCAGAAAGCTCGTTTTGGGGAGCAACAAGTGATGGATTTCAATGATTTCAGAAAGTTATCCACAGTGACTGATGGGTCATGGAAGAAGCTCAAAACAGGCCTGATCTTTCAGGACCCGCCGCTTCAAGCCGACCTAGTTTCCAAGATTGTCCATTTGATTGATGATCTCGATGCCTTCATCGTCGACGAGTCTCTCTGTCAACCGACGAAAACAGCGTCCACTGTCGACTCCAGGTTTCAACGGAAGGAGGAAGTCGGCGGGCCTGCGAAGGGCATATTTTCCAGAATAGATGTCTTTCAGGAAGAGTTTAGGAGTTTGCTTAAAATGCTTCAGGAATTCAACACCCTGTGCTTGGAGGATGAAGCCTTGTCCTCCTCCCAATTGTGAAGATTATGGGGGTGTAATCTTTTCCTCCTTATCCGGTTCCTACAGAGATTGGGTTTTGGAAGATCGACTCCCACTTTTTGTCTCCGTTTCCTCCTCTTAGGAGGGAGCAGATGAAGAGGAAGCTTTTACACTACAAGTTTATTCCTTGGGGCATATTTTGAAGAATGCGGCGATTTCTCCTCCTTGCGAGATAACCCTCATGGATGTATGTGAGAAGCTCTTCAGGAAAAAGCTGATTTCTCGTATCTTACATCCCAGAAATGTGGCCACAGTTATAGCTTTTTGTGGGGTGGAATTAGGTGTTGTATCATGACTACTTGGTGCGCCATCATTTCGAGTGCATTGCCTTGGCTCGTGTAGGAGACGACCCCAACCCATAAAGGATAATTAAGGATTTGTTGATTTCTCTCATTTGCTACCGATGGGAAGACCTGAGTATTTATTTAGACTTTCCGTTCTTTGATATGCCTCGCAAGCTTTATTATCACTTGGATGGTCAGAGGTTTCTAATTGCTTTGGAGGATGTTCGGGATATGGATCATTTTGACACTCTCTCCTATTCTTTCCTATTGTTATCGGTAACCGGCTACAGGTTCTTGTTAACCACTCCTAGGGATCAAGGTGAAGTTGTTCAGTTATTGGATTATTTAATCCAGCCACTTCATGCTGAGGTATTCACTCTCTAAGGGGGTCTATTCGTGGAGCCACTCTTTCCAACAGGTGACCAACATGGAGAAATGGCAAGTGTCAATTTACCTTGTTTTTGCTTATCTATCCAGTACTTCCTTTGGTGTTCATTTGTGGTGGAATATATATGGTCTTGTTTGGACAATTCAAATTTTGCCATTTTGTCTTATTTTACCTCTTAAAATACATCTCAAATACAAATTCCAATACTATCCAAAAAACTTTTTAATTTACTTTTTAAAATTTATTTCAAACATTATTTTTACACTTTTTTTTTACAACACCACCGAACCACCTCCGCGCCACAGTCCGCCGCCGGGCTGCCACTGATTTCCGGCCAGATCCCGGCGACTTGGCTGGAATTTGGCCGGAATCCAGCTGGTTGGTCACCGACCAGTAGCGGTCCGGCGGCGGCGATGGGTGGTCCGGCGGCGGTGGTGGTGGAGGTGGTCCGATGGTGATCTAAAAATATTATGATTTTATTTAAAATATTACCCAAACAACTTTTAAAATTTTCTCTCAAAACATATTTTAAATCACATCTCAAAACCAAATCAAAAACTAAAACAAAAATAAAAACAAAATGTTGCCCAAACAACCCCATACTTTTTTTGGTTTTTTCTTTGTAGTAGAGTATGGCAGTTTATTATCCTACTTTCCAAGTTTAGGTTGTTTCTTTGCATCCTAAGATCTCAGTAGTTCGTCGTAATTGTATGGAAGCCAAAATCATTTCACCTCAACTCTTCTAGTTTATTTCTCTTCAGTTTTAGTTCCTTTTAAGTGTTAGTGCTCCATTTGGGAGATGAATGCCAAGCAGATTAACCTACTTCCTTCAAAAAAAAAAAAAAAACCAAGGATTCCCAAGTAAACACTTTAGAGTAAATGTTTTTACAAGAGATCAGAGGGAAAGTTGACGCATTACATTGTCCTAACGCGTGAAGTCTTGCCTTTTAGTATTGTTTCATGTTATAGTAGTTCTATTACTCACATTTATCTCTTACATCATTACCACCATTTGCATTGTCTATATTTCTTTTGTTTTTCTATTTTTCGGTTATCAATGCTACTAATTCAACTCCACATTGTGTTTTGAAGGATAATTTGACAAGAAAGGGGCAACATAAAAAGGGCTAAAAACCTCGCATATCTCAATGACGTCATAACTGAAGTATCGGCACTAATATTCCTCTCCTTGAATGGTGCTCAGATAACACTCACCAACCAGGTACCAAGAGGTCCTCAGTTCTTCCTAATTCAGGGATCTGTTCATATATCATCCCTCTTTAAGAGTACGATGTGCTCTCTAATTAGCAAAGGGCGAAGCTCAAAGTGAGACTGAACTATAGCATTTCTGTAAACAAATGTCTGGCACATAGTCTAATGAGTTTAATATCCTCTTCAAACCTGTTGAAAAGTTTCTTATATCTCTCATATGGGTGTGACTTACATTTCTATTTTTAGCTATTATTTAGCTTCTTTAATGTTTGATGTCAGCCATCGGATATTAAAATATGCACCAGATCTGGTGATAAAAGGTTTGGATTTGACATCTGGTGAGGAGAAGATGTGTGAGGCAATATGAAAATCTTGCTTTAATGGTGCTGGAGTGAGTTATATGATCCAAAATGATGTATCTGAGACATAAATCTAGTTCATTTACTGATAAGAGACGTAAGAGGTTAGACGTAAGAGGTTAGAGCTCAGTTGAAAGGTTTCCCCAAGCAAAATTAACCGTGGCAGCAGAGGTGGCCGTTTTCACTCCATTCCTGAATTAATGAATCATGTGCACAGGTAAGATTGTTAGAGAACAAAAGAAAAGCAATTTGAATAAATTGTAATTTTTTCCCTTACGTCTTGTACTATATGATGCGAAACTGTTTTTCTGGGAGCCAAAGTAAAACTCTCTTTTCATGAAATGTAGCCTGAGGAAGCTAATTTGATTTTTTTATCCCGGGAAATCGATGAAACTGTAACTTTCCTGAGCTTAGATTTTGTGCTTCAAAATTATTCATGTGCAAGAGCTTCTATGCGAGTAGCAAAATCATTAATATTCACATCTATAGAATCACTGCTAAGTTCTTAGATTGACATTGAATATGGGACTTTAGAGGGGATCTTCAGCCAAAGAAATTAATTAATAATGTCAGAGAATTTTCCGAAATGATTCCAAAAGTTGGAGATGGAAAAATTATTGAGCCGAACGATTTGCTGAGATTGAAATTCCTAAATATGGTCATTAAAGTTGATAGCGATCCTTTTATTGTACTTGTCAATTTTATTTACTCTGATATTAAATAATCTGGACAATTGAGGTTATCTTCAACATAGCTATGATGATGTCGATACCTAAACGGCCACCTCTTGGACAAGAGGAGCCTATGTATTTGAGGTTGGACAATATTTGCTCGTCAGAAGGCAGCATGAATAATGAGGACACAAGTTGAAACTAGAAAAGGATGCTTCGGATATGTTGTTGAGACATGTTGATTAGTGCGGTGGAAATGGTACTAGGTTTTGGATTTTAAGGTTAAAACAACATATCATTGAGGCAAATATTATCTAGCAGCCGTGTCGGGAAAGACCATAAATTCCTTTGCATGTTATTTGCCCTCAGACAAAAGATTAAAAAATAATCAATTAAAATGAAAAGAAAACAATTTCCTCAGGCCATATATATTCCGTGATGGGTAATCTGTACATAAGTAAATGTCTCTTAGTGAGTTTAGAATTTTGAATGTGATTAGTCAGAAATTAAATTGACTATTCTGATTGGCCCATTAGTTCACATGACATCTTCAATTTTAAATTGAGCTCTTTGATTGGTTAATATATTAACATGAAATAATCAATTTAAAACAAGGCTACAATGGTTAATTAATAATTTTCCTTTTTTGCCAATTAAATATGTTATTAGCCGAGAGAAATAACCTAATTAATGTGGCAGGCTAAACGACGATGTTTACTACCCGATGTTACTAATTAATATGTCGTTTTTTGTACTCATTTTAACTACCAAATTTTTCGGCCACTCTCCATGCCTTCCTTCCCCACAAATCTTTCCCCGCCCCAAAATATTAATCTAATCTTCTGTCACCTCTATTTCCCCATCCCTTCAAAATCCAATTATCTTCTTGTGTTTGAAATCCAATGGTTATGCAATGGTGGCAATGTCCAATCTCTCGAAAGGAAGAAGAATTGATCCTGATTTTTCTTTCGGTTCCCAATGGTGGCAATGGTGTAGATCAGGCGTCTAAAAACAAATGGTGAGCATACTTTGGGTGGGCTTCTGATGGTGACAATGCAAGCAATCTGCCGTCCAGGAAAGACATGGCGGTACTGATGAATCGTATTTTCGGAGTCACATAGTAATTATTATTAGAATTTCATTAAGCCATATGACGATGTAACTATTTGAAGTGAATTCATATTTACTTCTCAATGGACACCTGTACTCACCACCATTATCTGCTCGAACAAACTTCAACTTCTTCCCAGTATCACTTTCAACTCTAAGGTCAAAGTCTTGAACACATCTAATACCTGATCTTTAGATTTCAAAGAAAAACACCCAACCTCTCGAGCATAGTCATCAATGAAAGTAACAAGGTACAATGCACCACCCAAAGACCTATCTTTCATGTAACATACATCTGTATGAACTAACTCTAGAGGACTAGACTTTCTAGATGGAGTAGAATTTTGAAAGGAACCCCTATGTTGTTTACCACAGATATAGTCAACACAAGGTTCTAGAGCAGTACCTTTCACCTCAAGGAGAAATTGCGTCTTACCAAGAATTTGGAGCCCTTTGACACTAATATGTCCAAGTCTTCTGTGCCAGAGATCAATGGAGACATTAAGAGTTGCATTCACCTCTCCATTCTTCAAGTTTGCATTCAATACATACAAAGAGTTCAACTTCTTTCCTCTAGCAATAACAAGATTCCCTCTGGTAATTGTCCAATGGCCACCACCTCCAGTGCTATGACAACCCTCATCATTAAGTTTTCCAACGGAAATAAGGTTCAGACGCATATCCGGAACATGTCTGACATTTTTCAAGAGAAGAGTACAACCTGTATTCATTACTAATGATACCTCTCTTATGCCGACAACATCGCATGAGGCTTGGTTGCCCATTCTTACATGATCAAAATCTCCAGGTGTGTAAGAGGTGAAAAAGGGTCTGTGTGGCGTCACATGATAAGCACCTGAATCACGAACCAATCACTGTCGTGACTCGCAACATTAATTGTATCATCATCACAGTACACAAATACCTCACTAGTAGTTACTACTGCAGTAGTGTCATC